ATAACTATGACTTCAATCTCAAGTTTGTGAGAAAATTTTTCTCAAAATCATTTCTTTCCGTGTAGTTGCAAAAGTTTTTTAAACTATTAAAAAAGCTATTCTACTTTGAAAACTATATATGTATATAGTTTGCCTTGGGAGATATAAATTTTGCGCGCATAAACATTTATTTACTACTAAAAATAGACTTGTGAATAATAAACAAAATTTTTTTCCAAAAATGAAAATACATGAGAGGTGTTTTGATTAAATCCAGAAGGAGTAATTTCAGGAATAATAAGTTTTCACCACCATGCTCTGACCCACTTTTACAGAGCGGACAATTAAAGGAAGTTCAAGTCCTGAAATTTAAATCAGGAAAAGTATTCTTCTATTTTCCGCGCAAATTTTAATAAACTTTCTCAAAAAAGAAAAAAGAAAAAATACTTGTACTCTAAATAGATGTCACAAAAAATTCCGACATTGGAAAAATTAAAAAATTAAAATTTATATTTAAACTAATTTTATTATTAAAATCAACTTCTTTTTTTAAATCGATTTTTTTTTGCAATCCATATGTAGTTAATTAAATTTTCCCCTTTTCTTCACACGTCTCGGCGAAATTCTAATAAATTCATTAAGAGTTGATGGAAATGAATTAACGTTCACTTACCTTGGCTGGTCGTGTGTTGCAATGTTGACAGATTGACAGCTAATTCTGCAACAGAAAGAAAAAGATGGTCTTTCAATATTTAATAGAAAATTTATAGAAGATTTTTCATTTTCCCTCCAATTGAATATTCATAAAGACACATCTACACTCAGAGGAAAGTTTTATTTCAATTAAATATTTATTTGAGTCAGATAAAAGTGTATTTGCCACAAAGACTATAAAATTTCTTATTCGTTTCAAATTAAAATTTTATTTATTTATTTATTGAAAATAAATTAAAAATTTTATTAATTTTTCCACAGTTTAGAATATTCTAATAGACGAAATTTTTATCTACTTGAATATTTTTACTTATTTCACAAAGGTGAAGAATAATAAAAATCAAACATTTTCTTACTCAAGAATTAAGTTCTTAATTCTTCAATCTAAAGAAAATTTTTTTTTTAATCTAAAAATAGAAATTAGAAGTTAGAAAAATTTAAAAGTTCAAAAATTTAGAAACATTTTTATTCAATAAAAATAAAATTTTTATTTGAACCAAAAAAAATGTAGTTCTAAACTTTCAAGATCGAAATTTATTTATTTACTCTTCAAATTAAATTTTTATTTCAATACTTTAATATAAATTAATTTTATTAAAATTATATGAATGTTTATTATTATTTATTATTATTATTAAAATATTTTATCATTAATATATATTTTATTTAAACATTCAAAACTTGTTGATCAAAAATAAAATTTATTTGTAACAAATAATACTAACAGACAAAATTTTTTACAAATAAAAATTTTTAAAGCAAAAAGGGGGAGGTGGTAAAAATTGTCAAAAACAGAGCGTTTCGTATTTTTCGAATCGCCCCTATTGTAATAATAATCGTCCCTAATAATAAATAATAATTATTAAATAAAAAAATTATAAAAATAGTGAATAAAAAATATTCAAATCAAAATTAAACTTTACCATTTATTTACATTTTCCAAAAAAATAAAACTCCTAATATTTTTCCAATTAATGCCAAACGAGATTTATTAATTAAAAATCATAAATTAACAAGCTTGGAGCTTCTTTTTTCTTAATTTTTTTTTTCTTGAAAAAGAATTTTCTCTCGAAACGCAAAGTTTTCACTTGAGAGAAGAAGATTCATTTTTCACTGATTAAAAAAAAAAAAAGAAAATATTGTAATTGTCTGCCATGAGTTGTGAATTGCGAGAATCCGAGAAGATCTAGAAGAGAAGAGAGTAAGAAGTCGATTTGTTATCAAAGAAACCTGCACAATCTAAAAGTGCAGCGTACTTTACATAATCTCTTGCTTTGAAATTTAGGTCACCATTTTGACCTTAAATCTTTTTTCGGTTTTGAGCTTTAGAGAATTAAACGTGATTCTTTCTGAATATAAAATGACTCGATTCACCATGAAAGTGTAAAATTACATTTTCAAATGAAAAGAATAGTGTACTATATAAACGGGAAAGAATAAATAAGTTTTTCTTTTAATTTTGAGCGAGAAAAAAAATGTGCGGAAAAGAGCAAAAATTGCGAAAATTGAAACTTTACTTTACTTTACTCTTTTTTTGTAATATTCTTTTTATTTTTAAATGTAAATTTTTGCTTTATTTTTTAATTATTTTTTGTAGTTTGATTACTAAGTTTCTATTTTATACTTTGGTTTAAGAATAACTTCAGTTGGTTTCAATGATCAACAAGTTTTGAAAAGTTCAAATAAAGGAAATATTTTTTATTTGGAATATTTTTATAAATTTTTTTTGCAATTAATTTTTTTTTCACAAGGGATACAAAAATACATTAATAAAAATTGAATTAGAAAAAGAAATAAAATCGTAAATCATCATTACGACTATTTATTTCTAGAATTTTCAACTAAAATTCTTCTTTAAATCAATTTTTTAAAAATAATTTTTGAAAAAGTTCTTTGTAAATTTTCAAATTCTTTTGTTTACAATTTAATTTTACACGAAATTTCGATTATTCTATGACATTCTTCAATTAAATATATTAGAAATTAAAAACTTCAAATAATTAAAAAAATTCCATTAAACTTATTCAGAAAAATTCTATAGAATTTTTAATTAAAAGTATAAAAAGTTCAAATTTGCAAAGATTTCAAATTGAAATTCATTTTTAAATCAATATTTATTAGAAAATTCTACAAAAATTCAATTATTAAACTATAAAAATAAATATTTTATTAAACAATTGAATGTTTCTTAAAATTGAATTTTCATAAAGAATTTTATCAACAAATTTCTAAATAATTCTTTCGACTAATTAGAATAAAATTATTAAAAATAATTGCATTTTTCGAGAAATTTGATGAAAATTATATTAAAAATAATTGAAATTCTGACAAGAATTTTATTAAAAGTTTTGAAAATAATTGAATGTTGGAGAAAAATTTTATTATTTATAAAGATAATTGAAATTTTGACGAGAACTTTTGTAAATTTTTAAATATAATTGGATTTCTGCGAAGAATTTTATTAAAATTATTTTGAAAAAAATTGAATCGTTACGCAAAGAATTTCATTAAAAATTTTTGAAAATAATTTTATTCTTTAAAGAAATTTAATAAATAATGTATTGAAAATAAAACTTAAATTTTAATAAATAAATTGTAGCAAAGGTTATTAAAATAATTAAATTTCTTTAACAAATTTTAATAAAATTTTTAAGAATAATAACTTTTTTCGAGGAATTCCATTAAAATTGTATTACAAATAATTGAAATTCTGACAAGAATTTAATTAAAAGTTTTGAAAATAATTGAAACTCAGCATTGAGTTTTATTATTTATGAAAATAATTAAACCCCTATAAAAAATGTTATCATTTATAAGAATAATTGAATAATATATGAAAATAATTTGTAAATAATTGAATCCCTATGAAATTTTTATTATTTATAAAAATAATGAAATTTTTGCGTAGAATTTTATTAACAATTTTTTTAACTAATTGAATTCTTTTAGGAATTTTTATTACAGCAGTAGATATTAAAAATCATTGAATTGAGGAAAGTTTTTGAAAATAATTAAAATTTTACCAAGAATTTTATTAAAATTTTTGAAAATATAATTGAATTTCTGAGATGAATTTTACTACTTCTGATAATAATTGAAATTCTGCAATGAATTTAATAATTTATGAAAGTAATTTAATTCCAAAAAAGAACTTTATTATTTCTGAAAATAATTGAATCTTTGTTAAAAATTTTATTATTTATGAAAATAATGAAATTATTGCAAAGAAATTTATAAAACAATTTGTAAATAATTGAATTTCTTGTGAAATTTTTATTATTTTATGAAAATAATGAAATGTTTGCGTAGAATTTTATTAAAATTTTTTTTAACAAATTGAATTCTTTTTGGAATTTTTATTAAAGTTGTAGATATTAAAAATCATTTAATTGAGAAAAGTTTTTGAAAATAATTAAAATTTTGCCAAGAATTTTATTAAAATTTTTGAAAATAATTGAATTCCTGAGAAGAATTTTTTTGAAAATAATCGAATTTCTGCAATCATTTGTAGTTACTTAAAAATTCAATTTGTTTTAGTGTTTTTAAATAAAATTCTTCTTTAAATCCATTATGTTTAATAATCAATTAAATATATATGAAAAAATTTATCTAATTTCAGAAAAATTTTAGTTTAAAATATTTTTTTAAATCTAAGATTTTTTAAATTTCTAATTAAATTCATTTAAAAGTACTTTCCGTGCTAATATTCCATTTCAATGTAGAAACTTTTATATTTGATTGGAATTTTAAAGGAAATAAAATAATAATAATAATTCAATATGCTGATTGATTTTTGAAACTTTAATAGATTAAAGCTCGAATATTTTGTATTGAAAAGAAAATTGCAAGTAATCGAATTATTGTAGCGTAATATTGGAAGAGAATATAATTTCATTGAAATATTATTATCTTTCATGCCTTGGTCTTCCATTGAAAACCCTTTAGTTTTCCGAGTGGACATTAACGTACACAAGTCAATCACAGTTAATCACTTGATTGAAGATTGAAAAGTAGGAATTAAAAAGAAATCGATTTAACTTTTACTATTCTCTAATACTCAATACTCTCTTTCTATCACATTTTTTTTCTCTCTACTCTTTCTCTTCTTTTTTATTTTTACTCTCTACACTTTTTTTTCTATGAGAGAATGAGAGAGAGAGAGAGAGAGAGAGCTTTTCTCTCTTTATATGAGAGAGAAAAGCTGAAAATAATAAAAAGCTGTCCTCGATTTTAGAAGTGCATATACTTGTTTAATTCTTTCTCGCACATGACCCGATGGAGTACTAACGAGAGGTATCTGATTTCAGTGACAAAATTGTCTCCGGCCAAGGTCACTCCGGTCGAGGACATTCAGCCGAAAGAGGAAACTCCAGAATTGTAAGTTTCACTTGTTATGTTGCACTTCGCATTAATAAAGCGATTATTTATTATTAATTATTATTAATTATTTATTTTTTAATATTTTATTTTTTATTTCACAATTTTTCTCTAAAGATATCAAATTCAGACGAAAATTGAATCATAACGTTGCTTCGCGACACTTTTGATTCGTTTTTGGCCCCAATTTAATATCAGCAGAAAAACTGTGTTTATTGTACTATATTATTTTTATTTTATTTTATTATTTTATTATTATTTTATTTTTTATTTTGTTTTTCAATTTTATTTTTATTGTTCTTTTACGCATAAACATGTAACTTTCTATCTATCTTACTCCCTTAATTTATAAATTCTACATTTTGATTTTCCTGCTTTTCACAATATTTTAATTCTATATTTTATTTCCCTAATTATTTTCTCATTTTCATCAAAAATATTAACGTTTTGTCTTATACTCATAATAACTTCAATTCTAATTTTTTTTTTAAATTTAATAATTTTCCAAATTTAATTCGAAATTTTTTGAAAATACGATTATTATTTAAAAACAATTTTTATAAGTAGAAAAAGAAATTCTTTAAAATATATATAATTTATTTCAATTAAATTTATGGAAATTTCCAAATAATTGGAAATATAATTTAATCTTTTTAAATTATTTACGAGAATTCAACTATTTTCAAAACATTTTATTTACAATTTTTTAAGACATATTTTTTTCACAATTTTCAAATCAAGTTACAATAAAAAACTTGAGAATTTCTTTTTTAAATAAATAGTGAAATACTTATTTATTTTTCCACACAAATTAAAATAATATAAATGATTATTGTGTAAATTTTTTTTTGAAATTTTACAAATTTCTAAAAATTACAACTGTAATGCTTCAAAAATTGAATAATTTTTTTGAGTTGAAATTTTTAATCAAAATTATTCAAAAATTTAATTATTTTTTAAGAAAATAATAAATTTAAACATTATTACACTTTTAAAACAAATAAAATTTTCAAAGATTTTAATTTAAAATTCTCTTCAAATTTAATTATTTTTATAAATTTATAATATAACGCGTATATAATATTCAATTACTATCTAAAATTTTAACTAAAACTTATGTTTAAATCAATTTTTATTAAGTTATACGAGAATTCAATTATTTAAAAAAATACATATTTATATATACAATATTTTAAATAATTGAATTTCTGCGAAGAATTTTATTAGAATTATAATTAAAATAATTGAATTAATTAAAAGTATTTTATTATTTATAAAAATAATTGAATTTATATGAAAGAATTGAATAAAATTTGAAAAAATAATTCAATTTTTTTAGAATTTTATTAAAATTTGGAACAATAATTGAATTAAATAATATATATAATATATATTTAATTAATTAATTATTGAATTAATAATTTGATTTAAATTATATTAAAAGGGATAGATTTCTTGAAGTGAATTTTATTATTTATGGAAAAAATAAATTTTTTGGAAAAATATAATAAAAATTTTTTGATAATTATAAATTTTTTTCAATGAATTTGATTAAATAATTTTAAACGATTAATTCATTTTGAAATTTTTTAAAAATTATATTTTTAATAATTAAATTCATGCAAAAACTTTATAATTTATGAAAATAATGAATTTTTGCAAAGAATTTTATTAAATTTTTATTAAAAATAACTGAATTGTTCTGAGATGTTTTATTTAAATAATATAGTTATTGAAAATAATTGAATTTTTTAAAAATATATTTTTATATTTATAATAATAATTCAATTCCGACAAAGAATTTTTTTATTTAGGAGAATAATTAAACTCTTGCCAATTTTTTCGACTTATTTAATTAAAATTTTAATTCATTTAAAGTATTTTATTATTTATAAAAATATTTGAATTCTGAGAAAGAATTTCACTATTTATGAGAATAATTGAATTCTTAAAAAATTTTTCAACATAAGTTTAATTAAAATTTTATTAAAAATAATTCAATTCTTACATAGAATTTTATAAAAATTTTTAAAAATAATTGAATTCTTTCAAGAAATTTTACTAAAATTGCATTAAAGATAATTGAATTCCCGCAGAGATTTTATAAAAAAGTTTTAAATAATTTATTTCGTTCGAAAAATTTTATGAAAAAATTGTATTTTAAAAATATAATTGAATTTATTTAAAGTGTTTTATTATTTTTGAAAATAATTGAATTCCAGAAAAGAATTTTATTAGGTATTTATGAGAATAATGGAATTCTCAAAAATTTTTTTGGCCAATTTGAATTAAAATTTCATTAAAAATAATTGAATTCCCATAACAAAGAATAAAAATATTCTTTTAAATAATTGATTTTTCTCAAAAAAATGTAATGAAAATTTTATTTTAAATCATTGAAACCCTGTAAAAATATTATTGGGCATTATTGAATATTTGCGAAGAATTTTATTAAAATTTTTCTAAATAATTGAACTTTTTTGTAAAAATTTATTAAAATGGTAGATATTGAAAATAATTGAATTACGAAAACTTTCTGAAAATAATTGAATCATTTCGAAGAATTTTATTTCAATTTTTGACAGAAATAATCAATGTTGCAATATCACACAGATTTTCTAAGGATATCAAATTGAGATAAAAAAAGAATCAAAAATGTTGCGAAGCAACGTTTTTTATTCGTTTTTTGTCTCAATTCTCTTTGGTTAATGAAAAAAAATTCTTGATTGTCAAAAAATTTTCTCAATGACTCTAAGGAAGTCCTCAAAAAAAAAAAAAAAAAATGAAAAAAAAATTGGAGATGAAATATTTTAATATGTATATTGAATAATGTTATTGCAAGACACGTTCGACGTGCTTTTTGCTCTCTGTTCGGAATTTTTGCTTTGGCCAAGGCATATAGGTACCACACGACGTATAAATAATGCATGAGTGTAAAGAGAGAGACCCACAGGGCACTACAAAGAGGGGAATGATGGAAGGTGACGCGTCACACAGCCCGTTATTTATGCACCTGAAAGGCAATGCCTATTAGCATAGGCATCCTATTTTCGTCAGGAAACTTCACATTACACTACCATTCTCCAAAGAAACGTTTAATTTTCATCTCCTTCAAAAGCTTTTCTTTCACAAAATATTCGCACCTTTATTGGAAAATACTTCTCTTCTGACCCAGTTAATTATTTTCACACCTACCACCAATTTTTTTTTACTCCTACATTCAGGTAACTTTTCACCTTTCCTTTTTTTCTGAATGAAAAAATTATAAATTATCGTTTATTTATCTTTCCTGTATTTTTTCTGAATGTACAAATTTTAAACGTTTATTTATTTTTATTTTAACAACGAAAATTAGTGTTAAATGCAACGTATTTTTTTTTGTTTTTTTAAGGAGGAGGAGGAGGAATAAAAATTGCGAAAATATAAACATTAGATGTATTTTTTTACGACTTTTTGCTTGTGTGCTTGCAGGAAACCGGAAAAACCACCTAACAGTGCAGGGGCTTGCAGAATATGTCGTAAATCTTTCAAACCAGATGACTTTTTTAGAACATGCCACGAGTGTCAAAATAAAGTTTGCGAAGATTGTGCGTCATATTCAAATACCACGGATTCTGAAGATCAGGTAAATATTAAATAAAAATGCAAATTTTAAATCAAAATTTAAATCAAACGCAATTGAATCAATTATTAAATCGATTATTGAATTGAAAATTGAACCAATTATTAAATCGCCTATTAAATCAATATATTAAATCGCCTGTAGAATCAACTATTTAATTAATAACTGAATCAATTCTTAAATCGACAATAAAATTGACTATTGAATCAACTATTAAAGCAAATGTTGAATAAATAATTGAATCAATAGTTAAATCAACTACTGAATCAGAAATTTAATTAATTATTAAATCGACTATTAAATCAAATATTGAATCAATAATTGAATCAATTGTTTAGTCGAATATTAAATCAGCAATTTAATCAGTTATTAAATCGACTATTGAATCAACAATTGAATGAATTATTAAATCGACTATTTAATTGACTATTAAATCAAATGTTGAATCAATAATTGAATTAATTGTTAAGTCAACTATTAAATAAACTATTAAATCAGTAATTTAATAAATTATTAAGTCGATTATTAAATCGACTATTGAATGAAAAATTGAATCAATTATTAAATTGCCTATTGCATTTTAATTTATTTTTTCGATTTCAACCACTGAAAGTTACTATTTCTGTTTTTTTAAAATTTCCACTACTTTAAATTCGTTAATACTAGAAATCAAAAAGCCATTCTTAAAAATTAAAATCATATTCTTTAAAACGATTCAATTATTTTCAAAAAATATTCCAAATTCAATTATTTTCAATATCTAGTATTTTCATGAGATTTGTCAAAAGAATTTAATTATTAAAAAAAAATTGATAAAACTCATCCAAAATTCAATCATTTTCATAAATAATAAAATCTCCACAGGGATTCAATTAATTTAGAATAGCATTTACATAAAAATTTCGGAAAAATCAATTATTTGACAAAATTTTTATACAATTCTTCACAATAATTCAATTACTTTCAATAATAATAACATTTTTCATGGAAATTCAATTAAAAAAAAAATTTGATAAAATTCTAATCAAGAAATCAATTATTTTCATAAATAATAAAATTCTACTCAGGAATACAAATTAATTTTGAAAATCTTAATAAAATTCTTTGCAACTATTCAATTATTTTCATTACTAATTAAATTCATCTCAGGATTTCAATTATTTTTAATACAATTTTACAGGAATTTCTCCAAAAAATGTAATTATTCTTAAAAATTTAATTTCAATTTCACTTAAAAATCAATTATTAAAAAAAATGTTTTTTTAAAATTCTTTGGGAGAATTCAATTATTTAGTAAAATATTAGAATTTTTCACAGGAATTCAGTTATTTTTAAATATTTTAATAAAATTGTTCGGAAGAAATCAATTATTTTTAAAAATAACAAAAATTTTTCAACGAAATTCATTTCTTTTTAAACATTTTAATAAAAATTTTTTGCAATAATTCAATTATTTTTTGTAGATAATAAAATTCTTCTGAGAAATTCAATTATTTTCTAAAATTTAAATAAAATCTTTGGCAAGAATTCAATTCTTTTCATAAATTATAAAATGCTGTTTAGGAATTTAATTATTTAAAAAAGATGTAATAATTCAATTATTGTCATAAATTTTAATAAAATTCTTTGTAAAATTTAGTTATTTTTAAAAACATGTAAATTTCCAAACAGAATGCAATTATTTAAAAAATTATTTGTAAAAATCTTCGTAAGAATTCAATTCTTTTTATGAATAATAAAAATTGCTCAGTAATTTAATTATTTAAATTAGAATTTGCATAAAATTAGTCGAGAGAAATGAATTATTTAAAAATTTTTTTTAAAAATTCTAGGCAAGAATTTAATTATTTTTATAAATATTTAATTTCTTTCATTAAAAATAAAATTCAATTTATTATCAGTATGAGAAAAAAGTAAATATTTTTGGTGAGAATTAGGAAAAAATCAGGAAAATAAAATACAGAAAGAAATTTTTGTCAGTTTTGTGAAGTTTCTAAAACGAGTTTTTTTGGTCGTCAAGTTTAATTTTTCGATGGCTACTATTTTACTACTTATTAGTTTAAAAACTACTGTTTGATACTTTTTTAAAATTAATTATCGAGTGTGAAGTCTGCTATTAAATCAATTATTTAATTAATAATTGAATCAATTATTAAATCCACTATTTAATCAACTATTGAATTAAATCGACTGTTAGATCAACTATTAAATCAACTGTTGATTCAATCAATTGTTAAATCAATTTCTAAAGCGAATATTGAATCAACAATTGAATTAATTATTAAATCACCTATTAAATCAATTATTTAATTAATAATTAAATCAATTATTAAATCGACTATTGAATCAACAATTGAATCAGTAATTGAATCAACTATTAAGTCGAAAATTAAATTGACTATTGAATCAACAGTTGAACCAATTATTAAATTAACTATTTAAATAATAATTGAATCAATTATTAAATCGACTATTGAATCAACAATTGAAACAATTACCAAATCGAGTACGAAATCGAGTACGAAATCGACTATTAAATAAACAATTAACTCAACTATTAAATGAACCATTCTAACCGTAAATATGAAAAAATTAATTTTAAACAGCATTTTGTAAATTTATTCACACCTGCTTAAACATTGAAATTATTTTTACTACATGCAGTATTTTAACTTTTCTCTACTCTCTTTCTCGCCACACAAAAGTGCTACTTTGCATTTTTAAAAGGAGAATTCTCAGTCAGTTTATTCCACTTGTTATTGGATCTTTACATCAGAAACGTAAATTCAAAGAAAAATCTCTTTTTCTCTTACAAAGCAGAAATGAGGAAAGCATAAGAGATGCAGTCAACGTGAAAAAGCCAGAAAAGAAAGTCTAATTGTAATCGGAAAAAACTTGCCTTTGAAAAATGAAAATGTGCCAACGCCACAATATCAAATAGTCAAACAAAGAGCGAATGTACGCTTCTTGTAGAAAAAAATGAAAAAAAAAATAGGAATTACACTGTGTTAAAAAATGGGAGTTACATTGTTTGGCAAAAAAAAAGTAACTTCACAATTTTTTACGACCTATTTCAGTTGCTGTTTAATCCTTAAATTTTTTCGACACGCCTGAATAAACTTTTTATTTAATTTCAGTGTATGTAAAGTAACTGGACAATTTTTACCAACATTTTCAGTTGCTATTTAATCCCTTAGTTGTTTTTACACATCTGAACACGATTTTATTTAATTACATTGAAAGTTTAAATAAATCAAAGTTAAAATGAAAATTTATGTGTGAATCAAAGTAAATTCAAAGTAAAAGCGAATAAATTAATTTTTTCAAATTTATTTAAATAAATAAATAAAATCAAAGTGGAAATCAAAGTAAAATCAAAGTCAAAATGAAAATCAAAGTTGAAATCAAATTAAAAGCGAATAAATTTTTTTTTTTTAATTTATTTAAATAACTAAATAAAATCAAAGTGGAAATCAAAGTAAAATCAAAGTCAAAATGAAAATCAAACTGGAAATCAAATTAAAAGCGAATAATTTTTTTTTTAATTTATTTAAATAAATAAATAAAATGAATGTTAAAATGAAAGTCAAAGTGGAAGTCAAAGCGAAGTCGAAGTTAGAATAAAACTTAAAATCAAGGTCTTTAAAATTAATTCGAATCCAAAATACTCTCTAAATACTAAATCAAAAAATGTATCACAGGATTGAATTTAAATTGTTAATAATATTATTCCTCGGATATATTATTTCAACAACTAAATAATGCCATAACAGTTGAAAATTCAATGATTAAATGCAATCAGCATTAAAAAAAATAAAATTAGAGGGAAAAAAAGAGAGGAAAAAACAAGACAGATGCACATAGCTATGCTCAAAAACACTCCAGGGCATCTCACATACACAACAACTCTGATAATTTTTCCTTGTCTCTTCAACCCACTTAATTCCATTCTTTTATTTGCAGATGTAAAACAATACGCTTTTTTTTGAAAGCTTTCAAATTTATTTCCATCTCTTTGACGACAAAATATGCACACTAATTCAAAGGAAATTGTCAACTTGAATTTTATAAATTTTTTTAAACTTGTCAACTTATAAAAATAATTTTTTGTTCATATTTATAGAACATTTGAAGTATATTCTAAATTATTTATCTATTTTATTTTAAATAAATAATGAGAGAGAAATTTTCAAACTATACGCCTCATTCGTTTCTTTAATAATAACATCAGTTACTCTCTATATATAGTTTTTTTCCTCGAAAAGCAATATAAATGGTTTTCACGTAAGATTTTATGTACGAAATTTACGTATAAAGTATGGAAAACCAATTTTAAAAAATGGAGTTAATCGTTGATCGGGAATTTTTCTATAAGATGGAAGAAAAATGAATGGAATAGAAATTTGAATTTCTTCCTATTATTTCACTTAGGATAAAATTTACCAAAAGATGAATTTCTAAATATTTATTTAGGATCCTAAATTTTCGATTGTTTCAATAAACAATATTTTTGTTACTTCTTTAATTTTTTGAATTTTTTTTGTATTTTTTAATTTTTAAATTATCTTCAATCTATATTATAATAATCATTCTATTCCGGTAATTCATTCACAGTTTGAATTTAGTTTTTGTTTCTTTCTTTTCTCCCTTCTTTGTTTGCTAACTTTCTCAATTTTCCATAATAGTTTTTTCCTCATTTTTTAAAATTATTTTGAATTTGAAAATTAATGTATTGAAAATCATATGATCTTAACATATAACACGTTTCGAATGTTCGAATGAACGAAATTTATTGATTTTTTCTTTAATTAAAGTTTTTATTACAATAATTTTCGGTCACTATCCAAAAAATTAATTATGACGTTTCTGAATCTAAAATTTAAATTCTTATCTTTTATTGCAATGAATGATTTATGAAAATATTTTTAATTTGAAATATTTCGTTCATGTCAACATTAAAAAAATTGTAGATAATAAAAGCATTTAATTCTTTCGAAGTATTTGTAAAAAAAAAATTGGAAAATAATTGAATTCCTTTGAAGGATTTTGTAACAAATTTTGAAAATCATTGAATTCATCTTTAGAGAAATTTTATTAAAACTGTATTGAAAATAATTGAATTCTCGCGAAGAATTTTTAATTTTTTATTGTTTATGAAAATAATAGAATTTTTCCAAAGAATGTTATTAAAAAATTTTTTAACAATAATTTAATTCTTGACAAGCATTTTCTTTAATATTTAAAATTTAATTTTAATTGGATTTCTGAGAAGGATTTTATTAAAATTATAATTAAGTTATGAGTTATGAAAATAATTGAATTTCTGCGAAGAATTTAATTATTTATGAGAATAATGGAATTCTCACAAATTTTTTCGTCAAATTGAATTAAAATTTTATTGAAAATAATTCAATTCTTACATAGAATTCAATCAATTCTTACATAGAATTTTATTAAAATTTTTAAAAATAATAGAATTCCCACAGAAAAATTTTTTTAAAATTCTGTTAAATAATTATTTACGAAAATAATTGTATTTCTACATAAAATTTTAATAATCATCATTAATAATCATTTTATTATTTATGAGAATAATGGAATTCTCACAAATGTTTTCGTCAAATTGAATTAAAATTTTATTAAATATAATTCAATTCTGACAATAAATTTTATTGAAATTTTTAAAAATAATTAAATTGTTTCAAGAAATTTTACTAAAATTGCATTAAAAATAATTCAATTCCAACAGAGAATTTATAAAAAATTCTTTTAAATAATTGATTTAATTCGAAGAATTTTATGAAAATTGTATTTTAAATATAATTGAATTTCTATTAAAAGTTTTATTGTTTATGAAAATAATTGAATTTCAGAGAAGAATTTTATTATTTCTGAGAATAATGGAATTCTCACAAATTTTTTCGTCGAAACAAGAAAATTTATATTATTTATGAGAATAATTGAATTCTTACAAATTTTTTTGACAAATTTTATAAAATTTTTGTTGAAAATAATTCAATTCTTTTATAGAATTTTATTAAAAATAATTTAATTTAATTCAAAATTTTACTAAAATTGCATTAAAAATAATTCAATTCCCGAAAAGAATTTATAAAAATTTCTTTAAAATAATTGATTTTGTTAAAAAAACGTTACGAAAATATGATCCACAAGTTTTGAACGTTCAAATGAACGAAATATTTTATATTAAAAATATTTTCATAAATTACTGATTCGAATAAAAATTTAAAATATAGATTCTACGTTTAAAAACTTTAAAAATTAATTTTTTTATTAGTGACTCAAAATTATTGTAATAAAAATTGAATTTAAAGAAGAAATAAATCAATTTCGTTCATTTGAACGTTCAAAACTTTAGGATCATACGAAAATTGTATTTTAAATATAATTGAATTTCTATTAAAAATTATTTTATTTATGAATAATAATATTTTAATTATGAAAATAATTGAATTCATCTAATGTGTTTTATTATTTTTGAAAATAATTGAATTTCACAGAAGGTGTCCATTATTTATGAGAATAATTGAATTCTTACAAATTTTTTTGACAAATTTTATAAAATTTTTGTTGAAAATAATTCAATTTTTTTATAGAATTTTATTAAAAATAATTTAATTGAATTTAAAATTTTACTAAAATTGCATTAAAAATAATTCAATTCTCGAGAAGAATTTATAAAAAATTCTTTTAAATAATTGATTTCGTGAGAAAAACGTTACGAAAATTTGTATTTTAAATAGAATTGAATTTCTATGAAAAATTTTATTATTTATGAAAATAATTGAATTCTTACAAATTTTTTTGGAAAATTTTATAATATATTTATTGAAAATAATTCAATTCTTTTATAGAATTTTATTGAAAATAATCCAATTTAATTTTAAATTTTACTAAAATTGCATTAAATATAATTCAATTCTTCAAAATAATTGAACTCTTTTGGGAAATTTTATTAAAATAGTAGATATATTGAAAATAATTTAATTGAGATAAATTTTTTTAAAAATAATTCAATAATTTCGAAGAATTTTGCAAAAAACATTTTCAGACTAAAATGAAATCATTGAATAAATTTAAAAATATTGCTTTGCAACAATTTTGATTCTTTTTTTTTGTCTCAATTTGTTATCCTTAGAAAATCTATGAGAATTATGATATGAAAAGAGAAAAATATTAAAAATCGAGTGATATGCGAATGGAAAATTGTAATTTTCAGTCAGTGTGGCGATGCAGTGTTTGTAGAAGAAAACTGGCTTCTCGAGGGCAGCCAATCGTCCCTCAGGAATCGACAGACTCACTTCTCGAAGTGCCTGTTCTTGAATCACTTCCTCGAAGGCACAGTGATGCGAGACTGGGTTCGCAAACCATGAGCCAACTCGGAGCACTTGGAACTGGACTCGCCCCTCCCCGTACTCCCGAGCTCAGAAGGCATTCTGATGTATCACCAGCTAGTTTGAAAGAACTTGAAAAGGTACGAAAAACTTTATAACTATTTCTCACCAAATGCCAAGCACATATTTTCGCCTGACAAAAGACGAAAACCAAAAAAAAAAAAAAAAAAATTCAATTCAAACCAAAAATATTACTTTTGGTTTTAAAAATTCTTACATTAAACTTTTGAAGGAATACGAAAAAATTTAAAGCTCTTGCAATTAATTGAAACAATCATGCTGATAAATAATTTACTGGAAAAAATAAAAATTTTCTCCATAAAGTTGTAAATTATTCAAAACTAAACAAAATTATTTGGTTTACTTTTTTGTTTATTATTTTGTTAATTGTTAATCTAGTTAACTTCAGCTTTTCTAAGGATATCAAATCAAGACAAAAAAAGGATAAAAATTGTTGCGATGCAACAATTTTGATCCGTTTTTTGTCTCAATTTTGATATTCTTAGAAAATCCATGTTTGCTACTACTAAATTTTTAATTTCGTTCCAAATTGATTGCACCCAGAAAAAATAATTTCAAACTAAAATAAATTCATTGAATAAAATAAATTGACTCGAAAGGTCGAAAAAGAAGGCGAAGAGCTTTTGCCTTTTTTTTAACAAAACAAGTAGATTTTGAAACAAGTTATTTTAAATTCCATCCGGTATTACAGTAATAGTCTCTTAAAATAAAAGTAAACCCTTTTGATATAGTATAAGCAGAAAGAATTCGCTAGAGCAGAGATTATTTTTGACTGGGTTGTAAGGAATTCCGTATAAAAATAGGAAGACTAATAAAAATAAATTGTACATATGAAAATAATAAATCTCTCGAATATAGTGTAAATAAAATTTATATTGAGACCAAAAAAAAACAATATTCAAATGAATCAAAAACATTTTTGCCAAAATTGATATTTTTAATTCGAATTTAGGTGTAAATGTTGGTAAATAATCCATTAGTTCTGAACGTTCAAATGAATTTGTTTTAAAATTCATTTAAAATCATAGTTTTCTTGAAAGTATCACATTTATACTAAAGTGGATCAAATTTATTTCTAAAATTTGGATCAATTTTTTTATTTGATCGAAATTTTTGGTATTCGTTGCAATTTTATACTTTTAAGGGAATGAAAATAAATTTTGAAGAAGACATAAATAAATTTTGTTCAATGAATAAATTCATAAATATTCGTTCAAGAAAATGGATTTTGAAAAAAAACGAAATGAATTTCGTTCTGATTTTTCTTTTTCCAAATTCAGGGCTCGAACCAGTGAAAGTATTCAAAAAATATACGGACTTTATGGAAGAAAAATGAAAAATTATACGGACCAATATTACTGACAAACAAATAATTCAATTTATTATCTAAAATTTTAACTGAAACTTATTTTTAAATTAATTTTTATTAGAAAATTCTTATAGAATTCAATTATTTAAATACAAAATTAAATAATTTATTGAATAATTGAATGTTTCTTGAAATTCAATTCCCACGAAGAATTTAATCAACAAATTTTTAAATAATTAAATTCTTTCGACGAATTTTAATTTTACTTTTAAGAATTTCGTACAAGCATTTAATTATTTCTAAAAATAATTGAAATTTTGATTAGAAATTTAAAAAATTTTTGAACAATATTTAATGTTTGCGAAGAATATTATAACTCTTGAAAATAATTGAATTTCTGCAATAATTCGTAACTTTTACAAAATTAAATTTTTTTTCGCGTTTTTAACTAAAATTCTTCTATAAATGCATTATTTTTAATAATTTTTGGAAAAGTTCTTTGAGAATTTTCAAATTCATTTGCTTACAATTACAAAATTTCAATTATTCGTAAATTCTTCAATATTAAATATTTATTAGAAAATAAAAACTTCAAATATTTGAAAAAAATCAGCAATTAAATTTTCTGAAAAAAAATAATTCCACATGCAGAATTGTTAGTTAAAAATATGAAAAATTCAGATTTTCAAAGATTGTAATTTGAAAACCTATTCAAAATTCAATTATTTCTAAAAAAATTCACACTACGCTGCTTTTAATATTCAATTATTATCTAAAATTTTAACTGAAATTCATTTTTAAATAAATTTTTATTAGAAAATTTTATACTAGAATTCAATTGTTTAAATAAAAAAACAGTTTATTGAATCATTGTATGTTTCTTAAAATTGAATTCTCATAAAGAATTTTATCAATAAATTTTTAAATAATTGAATGCTTTTGACGAATTTTAATAAAATTTTTAAGAAATTACATTTTTCGAGAAATTCGATTAAAATTGTCTTATAAATAATTAAAATTCTGCAATAATTTTTATTACTTTTTTGACAATAATACAATTCTTACGAAGAATTTTATTAAATTTTTTTAAATAATTGATTTTGTTCCAAAAATTTTTTGAAAATTGTACCTTAAAAAAATTACTTTAAAAATTGTATTATTTATGAAAATAATTAAGTTTCTGACAAGAATTTTAATAATATTTAAAAAAATTATTTTATTTTTCGGGAAATTCATTAAAAATTAAATTAGAAATAATTGAAAATTTGCGATAAATTTTGTTATTCATGAAAATTGATTTCATTCGAAAAATTGTATTAAAATTGTATTTTAATTTTTAAATAATTGACTTTTCGTAAAAATATTATTATTTATGAAAATAATTGAATTTCTAGGAAGAATTTTATTAAAATTATATTCAAAATAGTTGAAGGTATCTAAAGTTTTCTATTATATTTATGAAAATAGTTAAATTCCATCGAAGAATTTTATTGGAATATATTTAAAATAATAGAATTTATTTGAAGTATTTTATTATTTATGAGAATAATTGAATTCTTATAAATTTTTTCGACAAATATCATTAAAGTTTTATGAAAATCAATTCAATTCTTATATATAGAATTTGATTAAAATTACGTTAAAAATAATTAAATCCCCGTGAAGAATTTAAAAAAATTCTTTTTAAATAATTAAATTTGTTTGTAAAATTTAATTGAAATTGTATTTTTAATAATGAATTCTTGTAGAAATTTTATTATTTTCGAAAATAATGGAATTTCAGCAAAGAATTTTATTAAAATCTTATTCAAAATATTTGAATTTATCTAAACTATTTTATTATTTACAAGAATAATTTAATTTCTGTAAAAATTTGTATTTTTTAGCAGAATAATTGAGTTGTTACACATTTTTTCGACGAATTTAATAAAAATTTTATTGAAAATATTTCAATTCTTATATAGAATTTTTATTAAATTTTGAAAAATAATTCAATTTTTTCAATAAATTTTATTAAAATTGTATTGAATATAATTGCTTTATCGTGAATAATTATTTTAAATAATCTTTTTTATCAAAAAAATTTAATAAATTAAATATTCTGTTTGGAATATTAATATTTTATGAAAATAGTAGATAATTAAAATCATTGAATTGAGGAAAATTTTTAAAAATAATTGAAATTTATTAATTTATTAATTTATTTAGAACTTTATTAAATTTTTTTTGAAAATAAATTGAATTTCGTAGAAAAATTACTAAAAATAATTGAAATTTTGACAAGAATTTTTAAAAATTTTTGAACATATAATTGAATTTCTGCGAAGAATTTTATTACTTTTGAAAATAATTGAATTTTTTAATCATTTATCATTTTTCTAAAATTCTCCAAATTATGTCGTATAATTTACGAACTTTTTGTTTTTTCTCTATCAAATTACGAACGTTACGGACCTTTTTTTAAAAAAACTGACTTTTACTGACTTCAAGCAAATTTACGTACCTTGACGAGATTTATAGATCTAGTTCGAGCCCTGGAAATTTAAAAATAAAAAAAATTTCGTTTTATTTGGCAAAAGTATTTTTTCTTCAAAACCAAATGTTCTCCAGCACAAATGAATATAGTATTCAAAAAAATGTTTGTCTTTTCTGAAGATCAAAAATGGGGCACGCCAAAGAAAACCCATTGTGAAAAAATGAGAATGCAAACCGATATGGTCACATTTCAAACAACTTTTTACAATTTTTTTTACAATTTTCAATGAATTTTCAATAACCTCATTTTTGTTCGAAAGAAATTGACACACACGATATCTGTACAGCACGATAAAGCAAATGCAATGTTTTCACAAATATATATGTATATATATTGTGAGAAAAGGCAGAGTGTAATTTTCCATATACATCTTGAAAGGCAACTTATATTGATACGGCTTTTCACTCGATCTGCTTTCGTATATTGAAGGGCATTGTTATTGGTTGAATGTCTCACACAGGAACACCGAATGGAAAGTACAGGCGCAGGCATGTAAACGCACCAATTGCTTCAGCTTTAGAATGTGTCAAAAGCTTGAGTGTAAGCTTCTGCATAAATGCTTACACACATACTTTTATCTCACCCTCACTGTCTCTGTCTCTGTGTTTAATTGTAAATCTAATCCCACATGTGAAATTATTACAAATGAAATTGTCCAACAATGTTTCTGCACTTTGTATCATACATTATTATATGTCTATATCGAGCATTTCATGTGTCAGAAAATTTCACATAAATATCGCGCAGGAGAAGTTTTAAATGTATATAGAAATTGTAGGCGATTTGATTTAATGATAAAACTATAACAGGCTTCGCACTCGATAATTTAATACTAATAATAATAATAATAATTTGAAAATAATTTTAAAAAAGTAGGAAAAAATGGCTTTAAGAACAAAAAAAGTAAAAATAGACTAGCTATTGAAAAATTAAATTTTACAACAAAAAAAAAACAAGATTTAGACGATTCCAAAAAATTACAAAAATTTTAATCTGCGTTTTATTTCCCAGAATTTTTTTCTAATTTCCATCAAAAATGTTTAAGTTATTTCTTTATACTCCGAATAACTTTAATTCTAAATTTTTACTAAATTCAATAATTTTCTAAATTTTAATTTAAAATTTTACGAATATACAATATTCAAAATTATTTTCAAAAGAAGAAAAAAAATCTTTAAAATATACAATTTATTTCAATTACATTTGACAAAATT